TGGGGTGTAGTGCTAACGTGTGTAATGCATGAGTGAAATAACCGGGTTCTCTCGGCTTGATGATGGGATAATCCGAACAGTGGAGTTGAAATGGTGTGTTGAAAGAACGCTTGTTTGTCGCAACCACTCTCCCTTGACCAACATCGAAACTACGCCCGATCCACGACATCACGATACACCGTTACAACGAGCATTCAAAACAACATTACTCTATCCAGGAGGCGGGGCGGGCGGGGACAATGCAGCGGCAAAAACAACGATGAAACGAAGCAGTCGAGCTTGTCGGCACCATTTATGCGTCTTGCCACATCGTTTCGTGCGCCTTTTCTCGTCTTATAGTATTGCGGCATTTAGATGAACATATTATTGTTAAAATAGGTACGATTGGAGCCAGATGGCAATCCTAAGTTTGAAGCCTACGATCGAAACCCATTTCGCCCATGATTGACGTCGAGCTGCTTGCTAGCAAGTCGTCTCGGCACTTTTTGCTGGTTTTCAGGACCAGGTTCGAACCTGGGTGGTTTTCTTTCCTTTTTTTTAATTTTTGTATTTTTATTTTTTATTTTTTTATTATTTTTATTTTTGTTTTAATTTTTATTTTATCTTTTCGTCCAAGCTCGACTCATTCAGTCTTTTTATTTTTATTTTTATTTTTTTTTGTGGCATCGAGTGTAGATCGCAATGGCCGACGGTAACAATGTGCTCATTAGTGTTTCCTGGGGAAAGAAAAACGTAGAAGAAGGCGAACACCGCAGAGCGCCGGGCGACTTGCGATGCTTGCCTGTTTTTGAGCTTTGCCACTCTCTGTTTGTGCAAACGCCACTACAAGCAAGCTCTGCAGATGTCAGGAGGAGGGCAGGACAGAGGGAAAGAGGGAAAAAAAAGAAAAAAGAAAAAATGACAAAAGAAAAAAGAAAAAAAAGAACGAAGAGATCTCTGGTCGTTCTGCTCCCTGCAGATCGATGGCGACCGTGCGGATGCGCGGAAAGCATCGGCCTCGGTCGAATCCACCAGTTGGATGCAGGGTGAGTCGCGAAGGAACTGCAGAAGCACGAGAGAGCGGGGAAAACACCAAACTTTGGAACAGAGAGGGAGTGAAATGGCGGGAAAATGTTTTTTTCGAAAAGTTGGCGCCAAAAACACGAAAGTTGGCGCCAAAAAGACATTTTTTTTGTACTTATGCGATGATGCTTTTTTGATAGGTCGGCGCGCGGGATACAAAAACTGCTGGCTTTGCAGTACTACTGAATGCCAGACTACAAGTGTCACGGCCCCTCCTAGACATCAATAGCCACTGATCTAAGTGGAGACTACAATGATATCGGGATCGACGACAGCAGCATAGTAAACAGCAGCATCAGCAACAGCAGCATCGAAACCAGCAGCATCGAAACCAGCAGCATCGAAACCAGCAGCATCGACACCAGCAGCATCGACAACAGCAGCATCGACAACAGCGCCAGCATCGACAACAGCGCCAGCATCGACAACAGCAGCCGTCCTAGAAAACGTGTAAGTTCCCGCCCGTCAGCTGTAGTGCACGAGAAAGAACAGTGATTAATGTGTGATTCCTGGTTGAACAGGCACGAGTCAGCACGGAGGAGCGAAGCGAAGTTCCGATCCGCCCACCGAGTGCTCGAGTCCAACAGCGTGCCCAACCGCGTGGCCAACCGCGTGGCCAAACGCGTGGCCAGCGTGTTGTCAGGCAAGCCGTCCAATCCGGGTAAAAGCATCAGGAGGTGCAGGCGGGGGCGATCTGAGATTTTTGTATTTTCGTCCAAATGTAGCAACGCAAAAAAATAAAATAAAATATTAAAAATATTTTTATTAATATTTTAGACAAGAAAAAGTCATTTTCCACCAATCAAACGTCGCCAAACCATGTCGGACAAGCATGTCGAAATCCGGTCGAAATCCGGGGCAAAAGAGAGATTCCGCGGAATTCTAATTTTTCCGGTGCGGATTCCGGTCGGATTCCGGTAAAAAAATTTTCCGCTGTGCAAGTTGAGGACAGTGACGAAAGAGGAGATGAAGGTGCGCGAGGGCGTGGCGCTGCGAGTTACTTTGGCGGGCCGGCAGTTGTGGGTCCAAGCGATGATCCTGGATGGGCCGGTGGTGCCGCTCCTGTTGGGCATGGATGTGCTGGCGGCGGCAAACCCTGTCATCGATCTGGCGACTCGGACGGTGCGGTTCGAGAGCATGAAGCCGGTTCGTGTCAGAGGCAAGGGCAGTCTGGGCTCGGGCGTCATTGGCGTGGTGCAGCAGGACGAGGCTAAGCC